TCTGATAGGAATATAACAATAAGAACTACGGAGTACGGAACAAATAAGAATAATCAGATTACGGGAGGGTAATCTGAACAATACGTTCCTTACTCTGTATATATAAACTAAATAAAAAGTTCAAAAGGTTTATTTAATTCACCAAAAGTCTTAAAGATCTTAAAATTACATATTAAAATATTGGGTATTTTAATAAAATAAACGTATATTTATTCTTACCCGCTTATTTGGTATTCATGACTGCTCTCTCATATTAGGTAGTCGTTTAAGTTCTCAACTTCCTGCTACATTTACTACAAAATTCAGTAACCCCGCAAAATATGCTTGAGGAATGTCACAATGAAGTTAATTTAGAAGAGCAAATACGATCTGACAAATGCGCTCAATTCTGCAAACTTATTAATTCTGATGTATGCATGACTATCACAGAGGAAGGAGCTGATGTATTCTCATATTTTCGTGAACAGAGCAATCTAATGACTCAAAAGTCCTGCATGGAAAAGTGGCTTATTAGTCTCTTAAACTCAGCAGATTTTGTCTCGTTCTATACACAATACATACAATTGCTCGTTGAAAAAAAGAATGGGTCTAATTATTTGGCTGACCCTAGATGCAGAGCAGTAACGAATTTTATTAAGCTTCATATGTTAACATGGAACGCAACTGACAAGTCAGAAGAATTATGCTACAGGCTTGTAACAGCCTCGACAACCATGGCTTTAATTCATCTTATCAAGCAGCCTGAGCTGGAACCAACAATATGCTTTCGTCAGAGGAACGTTTCAATGCTTTTACACTCTGCTGTAGGCATTCTTAACAATGTTATTAATCACTTACCAAATGAGCGCAGCAAATTTCGGGAAGAAGGAATCGTACAAGCATTAATGCTCATAGTCAAATATGACTCGCTTCATTCTCATGATTTTTATGCAGATCATGTTCTCCAAAAATTGCATCTCCCATTTAAAACAGCATCTCTTTTATTATTGGCTTTTATGGTAGACGAAAAAGAAAATGATATTCTCAATGATACGGACGGCCATATAATATATTTAATTGCTATCGTGAAAGATGCACTCTTAAATGAAGAAACCTTGTTTTCTGTCAATTATGGATATAATGCAGATGAACTATTTTATCGTCTCAAGCACTTGGCAGGTCCCGATAGTAATAAAGAAATCTTGGTCAAAAATGGTATCATAGGTGCCATTAAATCGGCGCTAGATATCTCGCTTAAGCAAGAAAGAGCATCTATAACTCGTGATAATGCTGAAACAAGTTATAAGAAATACCGTAACCTAGCCTTGGTATCTCTTGATTTGTTATGGTCCCTCAGCTTCATGGAAATCACCCATCAACACCTCGCATGTGGTACGGACTTTAGACGAATTTGTGACCATTTTGCTGAAAGTCCATTGTGGCAAGGACCATGCAAACTAGCTGCTACTGGCATTTTATGGAATCTTAAATGCGCAGAGAATATAAGTACATCCAACAGCTCCCCTGCCCATTTAATTAAATTGATGGGCTCTGATCGATCTATCGGTAAGGCTGATGGACACGTCATGATCAGTTATCAGCATAGTACTCAGCATATAATGAGCCTGGTTAAAGATGCTCTTGAAAGACGGGGCTACAAAGTATGGATGGACATCGATCACATGCGTAAGATGACTTAAACGACATTTGAACAGTAATCCTCGTTTGTGTGATTTATGGTAGTTGGTTTTTATTATATATAATAGGAAACAATGCCCATGTGTAGTTGTTTGATTGATTGATTTATTTATTTTCATTCATATCAACGATTAATATTCTAGTTCATGAATGTCACAATTATTCACTTAGGATATTCTTGACGTCTTGTAATTGTCTACTGAATTGATTCCTCATTTCTATTCAGGTGGCTCTTTTGTTGACGCCATGGCGGATGGAATACAGCGTTCTGCAGCTCTTGTGCTAGGGATCAGCCAAGCTTTTAAAAACTCACCTCATTGCCGCCAGGAAGTGAGATATGCTTATTCACTGGGCATCCCACTGGTACCTCTCGTCCTTGAGCCAAACTTTCGTTCTGATGGTTGGCTCGGCCTCCTATTGGCCACTATTTTAATGCATCCCCTCACAGGTCATGAAGATCTAGAAAGAGCAGCAAACTGGCTAGAGGATCAGTTGGGCGACCGCGGCCGCCATCAAAATGCCCCCTCAGAGGCACCCGTATCTATCCTCGAGTCCGGATCTGAGGTTGCACAAGTTCCATCCGGGGCATTTTCGGAGCCCGTGTCCCAATCTATCACCGTCGACAGTCACTTCGGCCACTTGGGCATATGCGCCGCCAATCATGTAGTTGATTATGAGGTAATTCAGCCATTGGACACTAATAGTAACAGATTGGTCGTGTCTGGAGCGAAGATCGCGTCTGTCAATTCGTTTCCGAGCTATCTTACCACGACACACTCAGAAAGAAGCAACTTAATACAGCAATGCTATGAAGTCCCTAACAAATACCCCTGTAATAACTTGGATTTTTCCCTATCTACGACCATAGGTCAGGAAATTCCGGCCCTTTCGGTCGCCAACGGCATTCAGCCTCTATTACCTGTGTCTTCTCTAGCTAACGGAATGGTTGTAACTACTAACTCCGATTTGCCCGTCAATCTGGCTAGTTTCTACTCGCCTTCTTCCTCTAACCATGGTGAGTGCTCTTTCTCATGTATATGAATGCCTTTTCAAATAATATTAGCTTGTATCAAACGCTACCGTAGTGACTGGGGTTATTAGGGCAGAGCAACATTTTTCAACACTGGAGTATACGTTTCCTAGTTTAGGCAATTTATTTTCAATTTATAAGGCCATTTATTCTATATGCTTCGCAATTATAACTGCTTTAGCTGTACCTTTTTCTGTTCATGTATTTTGCACCGTCCTCACTTTTCCCCATGCATTTTTACCTATGATAAGTGACTGGTTTTCGATGGATAATTGAAGTGGCTTTGTCTTTGCATAAAAATGTGATTAAAAAGGCAATGGCAAATTCACATTAGTCTGCCGTTTCATATTTCTGATATATTTACGAGGGCGACATCCGTTTGCCAACTTACAGAGTGGCAAACAATATTGATCTATTTTGGAGATTTGATTCTATTTATATATAACCGAAATTGTATTTAACAAAAATACACAACCAACATTGAAGTTTTAGAAATGGCCAATTAATTAATTTCTCAAATAACGTCTAGTCAAAATGTCGGCCTCTTCTATGCAATGGGGGTCAGTCTTGCCATCATCGTTTCCGTTATAGGAAAAAAAGTTGTTTCAATTAATTTTTTAAGTTACAGTCCTATATGGATGCCCAATGTCCAGATTAATTGGTAATCCTGCTGTTGCTTAGTATACTCTTCTCATTCAGCAATCATTTTGGTTTGTATGTAGAAAAGCTGTTTCAAAA